AAAAATGGCGGCACCCAGCTTTATGCAAATGAAGCCCGGGAAATTCAAATCCCTGGCTTCATTTGCAACTCCGGTTGCCTACATTACCACCCTAGTTCGAACTAGGGTGGTAGTGTAGACATACCCTTATAAACCACTACCTTTTCCTTCTGCTGCCAAATCTCCCCTTGCTCCATCAGCTCCCCTTGTGCCTGCTGCCCCCCAACCCCTCACCCTCCTCTGCTCTCCTGACTCCTGCCCTTCTCACTGCCCTCAGCATTCCTGAGACCTGCTCCCCCTCCCCTAGCCCTTCTCTCCCCCCTGTGCCCATTCCTCCAGTAGCCCCACTCTGATCATGTGAGTTACTCCTCCTCATCCCCTCTCCTAACACCTCCCTCTACTCACCTGCCCTGCCTCTCTCCTTTGGTGCTGGTCCCTCCCCTGCAGGTGCCTGCCCTTCTGCTTCACCCCAAGAATCCCCTGGCACTTGCACCTTCTCTTACTCCTGCATCATTCTGGTGCTCTCCCTTCCCTCGCTGCCCCTACCTCCTTTGCCCTCTTTTCTCCTGATGCCCACCCCCTCGCCACCCTCTGCCCCCTTCCCCTCATACCTCTGTACCCTCACATGTCTTGCTCCATCCCTGCTTTCCTCATGCCCACCCCTTCTTTCAAGCCTTCTCCCAGCACCTCCCCCTCCACCTCAAGCCCCCAATGCCCTTCCCCTCTCCTTTCCCAGCATCACCTTGTCCCCCCCTCCCACTGACACCTCCCCTCCTGCCCTTTTCCTCATTGTCTCCACTTGGCCCCCCAACATTGTCTCTCCACCACCCTGTTCCTTGGTGCTTTCCCCTTTCTTCTTCTCCTGACCTGCCCCCCTCCCCTCAGCCAGGCCGCTTCCTCTCCCACCCCTGCCTATTTTTCCCCTCTCCCGTTCCCTTTCCCTTTCCCTTTCCTTAGGCTAAGCCGGCTTCTGCCTTCCAGCTTGCCGGGCTGGAGTCAGAGCCAGCCCAAGCTACAGGTCGGCCGGGCCCTAGCCTGGGGCACTTCACTTTAAGGGGTGCTGTGTGGTGCTGCCAGGCTGGGTGGGGATGAGGACAGGCCGGGGCCCTGGACACAAAAGGTGCACCTCACAGTGCTGCCGGGCCAGGGACAAGGACGAGGCCCCGGGTGCAGAAGAGGTGCCGTGCGGTGCTGCCAGGCCAGGTGGGAGCATCCCTAGGCACAGAAGGGGTACCGTGTGGTGCTGTCCGGTCAGGCGGGGCCAGAGGCGCAAAAATGGCTTGGTCTGGCATCTGTGGTCAGGCCCCAGCAGCTTCCACCACACACGTGCTCTCTCTGCCCCAAAGTGCCACATGGATGGCCGCAGGGAAAATGAGGGGCTGTGGCTCCCTGTCTCAAATCCCCCTCCTGCTCCAGCAGCTGCTAGCTGGCCTGAGAGACCCCGTGCTCATGCCAGGGACGGGGCTGGGGCCCCGGGTACAGAAGGGGCGCTGCGCGGTGCTGCTGGGCTGGGCGTGGGCGCCCCCAGCCACAGAAAGAGCACCAAGCGGTGTGGCCGGGCCGGGTGGGGCTCAGGGAGAAAAAATGGCTCGGGCTGGCATCTTTGGTCTGGCCCCAGCTGCTTCTGCCGCGCATGCGCGGTCTCTGCCCCAAAGTGCCCCATAGATTGCCGTGGGGAAAGTGACGGGCTGCGGTACCCCATCTCAAATCCCCCCCACCTCCAGCAGCTGGTAGGCAGCCTGACACCCTGTGCGCACGCCTATGGCAATAACAAAAACATAACAACATTATATTAGAGATGAGTGAATGAGTTGGCTGAAAAAATGAATCTGTCTATATATGCTGCCTGTGAGCCTGTGGAACCAGTCACTCTGGGATCTCATCTCTGGGATGAAGGCAAGAGGATGAGGTGGATTCCTATGCAGCTTTAAGGTCCCTGCAGGTCCTTGCTCCTGCTTGTCCATCTTTGTCTGCCATTGTACCGTCAGCCCTGTTGGCAGTGGCAGACCCTTCTGTTCCTGTTGTCAGTTGGATTGCAGCAGAGCCCATGACGTATTATGTGTGTTCCAAATGTACTACACGGGAAAGGCTCTGTCCCAAACAGCTCACATCCTAAGAAAAGCAGCCACATGTGAAGAGCAGGGGGAGAGGGATAAAACATACAAATAAACAATATCAATGAACGTGATCAGCTGGTATATTTGTGAGGGCAGCCTTGTGGAAATGGTTCTTGAGGAGGAATTTGTGGCAGAAGAGCACAATAGCCTTAAAGATTAGTTTAGGGAAGGTGTTCCATGCATAAGGCGAGGCATGGAGGAAATCACACAGACTGTAGAGGGAAAAGTGAACAATTGGGTAGATATTGCAGCTTCTTTTGGGTACTTCAGTGAAGCCAAGAAAAGGCCATGTTTAAGAGCCCATCTTTAGCAAAGAGGCAGGAAAAGAGGTCATCTACTTCGGCAGGACTGATATAAGGGTTGACTTTCTGGGCTAAAAATACATGTAATTTTATTTCAGAGAGTTTTCTTCAGATAACACCTACCTGAAACCTGAGGTCTTGGTGTAGCGTGACACTTTTTTTTTTACCAGCCAGGTGGTGGTGGTAGTTGGGGAGAGACAGAAAGAGCTCATGAGTGGCCTCATTTTTGCTGTGGTAAATTTGTGAAATGAGAGCAGGGAATTTCACACAGTGAAATAATTAATGGCTCTATGTGAATCTCTTGGGGGATTCTAATGGGAAGGATTTATTTAGAATCTCTTTTAATTCGAATAGTTGAGGGAACTCTCCCAGTTAAGTATTTACTGTAATTCAGATTTTCAGTGAAGAGTAAGTACTGAACACTTTCTACACAGTGATATGCAGATCGGGTTTTGGGTGGGCGGAATTTTAAATTAATACTATACACACAACTAAAAGGAACCATAAACCCCTTCCTGTTTCAGCAAGTGATGGTTCCTCCTTAATTCAGGTTGCTCTACATTTGATATATGATATGTGGCTGCTGTTAGAAACACAAGAATGCAAGAAGAGGTAACTTGCAAATATTTGGATTTGAGAATTACACTAGACAGGGCACATTCTGATTTTAAATACAAGGCTCTCTTGTTCTGAGATTGCACACATCACGTGGGAGGGAATGTCTTCTGAACAACTTTTGGTTTTGCAAACAGAGCATGGAGAAGAGGTAGGAAAGCAAAACAGGAGAAAACCGCTCTAGATATGTTGATATGCCTTGAAGAGAAGCATTAAAAAAAACTAGTTGAGGGTCAGCTATAGAGGGAATGTGACATCAGGAAGCTATTATGGAAAAGCATGTCACAACAGTATTAAAATTACTGCAAGATACCTCCTGGGGCTCCCTACAGTTTTCACACTGCCCCTACTACTTAATACTCTCTTCACTTTTGTTTTCTTGTTCTTAGAAAATAGTCCATTTTCCCTCACGATGCACTGATTAAAATACAATTATCTTTCAGACTCCGTGCTGGACTCTTCCCCTTACAAACTAACTCCACGGGAGAAACAGCTCTGCTTAATAGATGTTGGCTATTTCGTTAACTCTAGTTGCCCACCGCTGTTCAAGCCAGAGAGGAATGTGGATATCATCATCTCACTGGATTACTCAATGGGTAATAGGTTCCAGGTGAGACAATTCACATTCAAGATTCCTTCTAGCACCGATGGCATCTTTCCTACAAGGCTTGCCCACCATTTTTATTTTAACAGTACAATCATAATAGGATTTGGACTCAGTAGTCCAAATTCCACTATCACAGGGACCCAAATCAGGAGTAACTCGTGATGTCAGAAAATTAATACCCATGTAGATATTAATTGCAGTCACTGTAGTAAACAGTTGCTGAATTGGGCCCAGTATCTTTTGCCACCAAACTAAACAGTGGTAAGTTAATTTCAAGGAGATTACAAAGTTGCTATTTTAACCACCAAGAGAGTCTCTCATTATTTTCCCTTCCTGGAACAGCACACTAGTCAGAATGTCCAAAACACCAATAATATGCATAGAAAAGATATAATGTTCAAACAAAGTTTATTCCCTGTTTACATCAAGATCCTTAAGGACTGTGAGGAGAATTACCGACTTTTCTTTTCCATTTTGACAATGAGTGGCAACGTATATAGGGAATAGTCATTTCTGTGTTTGATTAATGCTGCTGATGCTTACTGTTACATACATAGCCCATTGGAAAATCCAGTCTGTCTACAGCACAGAAGCTCAGATTCTTAGTGTTCCTTGCAAGGAGTATATTCTTGCTCCCCGGACTATACTAGGTTCTAGTTGATATCTGGGTGCAATTAATGTTGTTATTGATTTAGATGGCTACTATAGATTGCCTTGTGTTTATTAGAGACATCCACCCTGACCTCAGGTTTTAACCCAGCAACTAAGATCACCTAGAGACGAATACATGTAGGTTGGAGGAAGCATATTTTCAGTGTGGGGGTTCTTTGATTCAGCAATTCACTGCCCATCATAGTCTGACACTCACTAAGGGCATAGCTGCACTAAAGGGGAAGGTCGACATAACATGTGCCACTCCCACTACGTTAATTATGTAGCTGGAATCATCATATCTTAAATCACTGTTCCCACAGCGGGAGGTCAACAGGAGAAAACACTCCTGTTGGTTGCCCTTACTTCTCGTGAGGCGCAGGTCTACTGGCGCTGATGGGGGCGCGCTCTCAGTTCAAATTAGCAGGTCTTCACTAGACTCACAAAATCAACCACGGCAGTGTTGATCTTCCACATAGTGTAGACATGGCCTAAATGTGTTGATTCTTAGGGTCTGCTGGAAGGGACTTTTGAATTACCCAGGATCTTTCATAGGAGGTAGTCTGAGGGAATTTGGGGCTGGCGGGAGAATTACTATTTTTGACAAAAAATTACCATAATTTGCTTATCTGGGGTAGTCTTATGAAGAGTAATGTTTTACTGAGTATTGTGAAGGCCCCTAGAAACAGATGGACAGGGGAATTTTACTCATGGGATAGATAAATAAATAAAGTATAAAATACACAGGGGAACATGCCAGTGCCTGAATCTCTCCAGCTACGATAACCATTCCCTCCATGGATGGATAGTAAAGATGAGCTTGAAACAAAACCTTGTTACTGAACAGCCCTCTGTGTATAATAAATTGAACAAAAGCCTTGGCGCAAACATTCCCTTATTTTTGGAAAAATCAGATGTGCCTTGTGTCTGACAGAATATCTTGCCACAAGCCCGTTTTATTACTCGGCGTGGGGTTTGTTTAAGTATGAATGTGATTTTTCAAAACACTCAGGCTGCGTCTAGAGTGGCATGATTTTCCGGAAATGCTTTTAATGGAAAAGTTTTCCGTTAAAAGCATTTTCGGAACAGAGCGTCTAGATTGGCACGGACGCTTTCCCACAAAAGCACTTTTTGCGGAAAAGCATCCGTGCCAATCTAGACACGCTTTTGCGCAAAAAAGCCCCGATCGCCATTTTTGCGATGGGGGCTTTTTTGCGGCAAACAAATCTGAGCTGTCTACACTGGCCCTCTTGCGCAAAAGCTTTGCGCAAAAGGGCCTTTTGCCTGAACGGGTGCAGAATAGTATTACTGCAAGAAGCACTAATTTCCTACAGTAGGAAGTCAGTGCTTTTGCGGAAATTCAAGCTGCCAGTGTAGACAGCGGGCAAGTTTTTCCAGAAAAGTGGCTGATTTTCTGGAAAAACTGGCCAGTCTAGACACAGCCTCAGAATTGGCCTAATTCTGCTCCCACTAAAATCCAGGGTAAGCCTACTATCAATTTCAATGGCAACAGAGTTAAACCAATACTGAAAACTCCAATCTTCTGCCTTTTAATAGCCTGAGGCTTTTGGTCAGGCATCTGTACTTGGTGCTTGTATCATTCAGTATTGTCTCTCATGTGGCTTCAGAGTCATTGTGTGATTTATTGTTACAGGAACGCCTGAGTGAAGTGGCTTTTGTGGGGGGGTTCTAATGCAATCTCATTCTGTGTTTAACCAGCAATTAGAAATCACATACAGATATTGTAAAACAATCGGCATCCCGTTCCCTAAAATTGAGCTGAGTGAGGAAGACAAGAAGAATCCCAAGGAATGTTACGTGTTTTCAGAAGCAGAGAACCCCAGAGCTCCCATAGTGCTCCACTTCCCATTGGTGAACAACACTTTCAGGGACTACAAGGAACCTGGTAAGTGCATTGTCAACAGGAAACAAACACTTTACTATACTTTGTGGCTGTGTCTAGACTGGCAAGTTTTTCCGCAAAATCATCTGCTTTTGCGGAAAAACTTGCCAGCTGTCTACACTGGCCACTTGAATTTCTGGAAACGCACTGACGATCTCATGTAATATTGTCAGTGCTTTTGCAGAAATACTATGCTGCTCCCGTTCGGGCAAAAGTCTTTTTCCGAAAGACTTTTGCGCAAAAGGGACAGTGTAGACAGCACAGTACTGTTTTCCGCAAAAAAGCCCCGATCGCGAAAATGGCGATCGGGGCTTTTTTGCGGAAAACCACGTCTAGATTGGCCACGGATGCTTTTCTGCAAAAAGTGCTTTTGCGGAAAAGCATCCTGCCAATCTAGACGTGCTTTTCTGAAAATGCTTTTAACGGAAAAGTTTTCTGTTAAAAGCATTTTCGGAAAATCATGCCAGTGTAGACGTAGCCTGTGTGATCAGCCTTCTCACATCTGATTTCCCATTGGTCCTGTTCAGCTATATTATGCCCTCCCTTGATTGAGTCCCCGTTGTTTGACTGCACTCTCCAGTGACCAGATAACAGCAAAAGCCTTAACAGAGCCAAGTTTGAGCAGCCATGTGGAGACTGATGCAGCCTAGCAAACAGTGTCAGAATAAATGACGATCTGTGGCTTTTAAACTGCAGCTTGGGTGAGAAGGGGTCTGTAGTGTGGGATGGGGCATGGGTGGCAGGTATGAGAGGCAAGGGGAGGCAATACCTTTCCTCAGTCGTAGTGCTCAGCTGCTCCCCTCTTTCTATTCTGACCATTCCTGAAGGCTCCCACAGCAAGCTGCTGCAGACTGATGACTTTCACCAAAGTGGGCCTGTTAACTTAAAAGTGAGAAGCCTTCCAGCTTGCCAGACCTCTTAGCAGAGCGTTGACCCCATGAAACCATTTGACAGGCATGTGCCAACCCTAGTTACTGGCAAAAACAGGCGTGCATTTAAAAATTTGCTTTAAATAGTTCATTAGTTTGTTGCTGAACATTATAAAATTACATCTCTAAAAATCTTTGCATAGATTTTTCAATGCACAATCTGAGCATTCAGCTTTAGTTTTAAATACTTGGATCTTCAGAGATATAGATTTTTAAGATAAGGGTGATCGTTTGAATAATTTAACTGAGGTACACATTTTAATTTTACTTGCTGTAGTACTAAAACTTGCTTCCTAAATCTTCCTGTCCAGTGCAGGGGTAGAACTGCAGCCTGGGGCATGTGCCTCCCCAAGTATCAGCTTCATCCATTACCCACAATCCTCACTCTCTAGTCCAGTGGTTAGGATGCTTGCCTAGGCTGTAGAAGAGCCTGGTTCAAATCCCCAAGCTGCCTGCATAGGGATTTCCTGCCCTCCTTTCCCTGTTTCTCATGAGGCTATTGTCTTTTTGGGGAGGGATTGCTCACCAGCGACTCTCCCTAGGAGGTGGAAGTCTCCAGTTCACACACCTCAAAAAAGATCAGGGGTGTGCCCTGGAGTCTGCTACAGGCCTGTTTCCTCATTGGGGCGGGGAGGAAGAGGAGTGTTTTACTGCCCAGCAGCAAATCCTCTCCTCTTTAATAAAAAAAAAAAAAAAGAGAGCAAGAAGGGCTGCACATGGCTCTTGATCAGCTACAGGGTCTCTGCTCTTACACCCCAGAGGGCCCTGCTGCCTGGCAAAGGAGGGATTTGATCCAAGGGTACTCACACCCAAGGCAAGCATCCTACCCCAAAACCACAGAGGCTGTGGCAGTGTATTCTGCCCCAGTTAATACATAGTTGAAGTGACACACACTTGAAGGTAATAGAGCACACCACTGCTCATTTCTCAACAAGCAGACAGGGGATTTGAGCCAGAACCTCATTGCCTCTTGGGCAGGCACCTAAGGCCCAGGAACACAGAGGGAGGAGTCACAAGGCTTAGGTGGTCCAATTCTCACTCCATATTTCCTGAACATGGCCATCTGGCAACAGCAGAGGAGTCCCCACCTCCTAGGCCATTCATTTGCGATGTAGGAGATCAACATGTAGACCTCTTCTCAGGGAGCATGGAGGAGATTCAAACCAGCCCTTGAACTGTTCAAGGGGCAAGTGACCAAACCCCTGGGCTCCAGGGAGACTCATGTAGTACTTGTGGCTCAAGGATTATTTAATGACAGTGGCTCATTCTCAAAAGGAAACAGTGAGGGAGCCAGTACATTGGAATAACCCCTAGCCCAGCTCTTAGGCCAGTAATGTGAGAAGCAGATCAACGAGCAAGAAGGGAATTGAACCCAACTTCGTCCTTGTTGGGCACACACCTAACCCGTAAACTACTCATGGCAGTTTGGTTGGGGCTTTGGCCCAGTGAATATGTGCTGAAAGTGGAGCAGCTTCAGCAGAAAAGAGCAAGGGAGGCCCCAGCTCAGAATAGCTCCTAGCCCACCACTTTGGCCAGTCACTTGAGAAGTAAGAGCTGAAGGTTCAAGCATAAAGGGGGATTTGAACCAACACATGGTGAGCTCATACCAAGCTGCTTGCTAGTCTTGTGACGCCTATGAATGTGGCACAACTGCAGCAGACTAGGATGAGGCTGCAATCCCCACCTGAGGGAGACCACCTCGTAGTCCAGCAGCGGCACAGTCACTTCAGAGACAGCTGCTCAAATCCCTTCTCAGGAAGCTGAGAAAGGAGTTGAACCTGCATATCCCACACAACTGGGTAAGCACCCAGAACACAAGGCAATTAGACTGTGAGTCATTGCTACTAGCACTGGCACATCTTTAAGGCACTACACCTCCCGCAACAAGAGAATGCAGAGCCCTAGTCAAAGCTCTTCTCCACAGGAAGGGAGAAGAAACCTGAACCAGTTTCTGCCCCCTCCCAGGTACTGATCTCTGCTTGCACTCCCTGGCCAGGAACCACTTTGGTGCCAAAATAATTGCTCGGGTGGTACCTTTGACTGCCCCACCAAACAACTGAAGCAAGAGGAGGAAGGCAGCTGAGGGTTACCATGTAACCTTGAGCTTAGTGGTTAGGGAACCTTCAAATGTGGCTGCAGGGAAGTGGGGCCTGGCTCCCCTGTCAGCATGGGCAAGGCATTACCCAGGCAGGCTATGCTAGAATGCTATAAACCATGTGGAGAAGTGAATAAGGACGTACTAGTCACCCCTTTATGTAAGACAAGCGTCTGAGTGATCAAGGACATGACTAGGCAGCAGACTTAAACCAGAGGCGGTACATCAGCCTGCAAGGCACAGGCAGCATGTGGCCCTCGTTGCTAGTTGAACCCACTTACAGCTTGGCCTTCAATCAAAAAGCAATTGCCTGGAGACTGGCTCCTCCAAGGGGCGATTAGGCTAGTCAGAGACACAGTCTTGTGCTCCAGGCATCCCTAAACCTTAGCCTGCCAGCGGCTGGGCATGGCCAACAGGCTGGATCACGTGATAATTGCCCTCTTCTGTCCATTGCCTTTGAGGCATCTAGCATCAGCCGTTGTTGGAAGATGGGCGACTAGGCTAAAAGAATAATTGGTCTGAACCAGTCTGGCCATTTGCTGCATGAGAAGGAAGTTGAAGAGGGCTCATGCTGCCCAGGTGACTGCCTTAATCATTGGGTCACAGGCAATAGTGATGCGGGCTCCTCCACTGTTACCCGTTACAGCTGTTCCACTTGAATTAACTAGCACTGGGGCGAGGTGGTGTCTGTGCTCCCTCTCTAGGCCAGTGGTGTGGGGGCTTCTCTGATGTGTTAGGCGAGCTGCTGGGGCAAATCCCCTTTCTGCTCCCTGAAAAGGCTGTGTGAGAAGAGGGATGTGCTGCAGTCCATGTACATGTGCCTGGGTTATACAGCTTGGTGATGGAGGCTGGAACCTCTTGAGTTTGCCTGTTGAAGCAGATACATGTTAGTTAACTATTATTTGGGCCGCAGCAGTGGTGCAGTTTGTAGTCCAGTGGTTAGACTGCTTAGTGATGCTGTGAATCCTCCCTCTGTCAGCCTTGAGAGAGGCTTTGGGGAGAGGGGGAGTCATATGTGGTTGTGCTGCATGTGCCCTCAGCCATGCAGGGCTTGCTTCCCCCTTGCCTGTGGAAGTTATTTAATTACATGTCGGTTAGGCCAAGAGCTGTTTCTGGATTGCTCTGTAGCCCACAAGTTTGGCTGTTGGTTTGGCGTGTAATAGGTGTGGGTTCAAGTCCACCCTACTGTCTGTGTCCTATTCTGTAATAGCTCTGGACTGGCTGCTCTGGTGTCTGTTGAAACTGTTCCTCTTGAGGTAAATGTGCTTTGGGCCAGGCTCACAGCTACCCTCACACTCTAGTCCTGCTGTCTTGTTTAAACAAGTGCAGGTATTCATGTGCATCTCAAACAGTAACCAAGGGAATCCTCTGAACTGTCATTCATGTTAAAATTCGACACTTGTCAACAAGGACTTAACAAGACTTTGAACTTTCTCACCCATTACCAAGACAGTTTCCCCAATTATCACCTGTAATACCATTAACTCACAAACATCCCACTCTCCCTACCTTTAATATCAGCAATTCACAGACACTTACCTTCCTTCCTCCCCCTTCCCACCCCCCCGCATCCCCCTTCTGTTCTGCAATGTGATTTGTCCTTTTCATATTTGTTCATTTTTTTTAATTGTATCCTTTGGTATATATGGTTGTGACTACTTTCTTCCACTATTTGATCTGAGGAAGTGGGTCTGGCCCACGAAAGCTCATCATCTAATAAACCATCTTGTTAGTCTTTAAAGTGCTACATTGTCCTGCATTTTGCTTCAGTAACCAAGGGGCATTTTTTATTTTTTATCAGTAATAGGGATGTATTATTGAGAACTGTCCTCTTGAGGTCTTAATGGGTCACTGCCAGCTGGCACTTTTTGGTCAGATAGCCTGCCTCAAAGATAAAGTCCTTGCACGTTGAGTCCTGAAGACTGGACGTACTTAGGGTCAGGAGGAGATGTTACCCAGCCGTGGACAGGTGGCAGCCTTGTTGTCATCCATGTTTAAATTGGCTGCACCAGATCAGTAATAACTTTACTGAAGCATTTGTGGAGCTTTTAAAAGCCAGACAATGCGCCCAGGGACATTCAGCACTATGGAGCCACACGGCCAAGACTCATAGAACTTCCCAGCAAGCTTGAGTTGTTAAGGCTCTCCTTGAGACTCAAGTAAAATCCCCCCTTTTCAGACAGTTTCAAATTTTCATCTGCTTTGGTTTGATAGTGGGGATTTCTTCTAACATGAAATGTAAAGTGTGTGTGTGTGTGTCTGTTTGTCTGCTTACTTCTTTCATTACTGAACAAGTATTGGCTCTAGCTCTGGCCTGTTTTGAAGGCTTGTATACAATGAGATCATAGAGGAGCATTTATACAGCGTTTTACCTTATTTAAGCTGAAAGTCTCTCCTTAGGTAGATGTTGTGAGGTTGGCAGACTAGTCGCCGGCGCATGCCAAGGTCTCCGTAGGACACTGCCAGACCCATACGTGGAATCTGTTTGGCGCATGTCTGAGTTAATACAGTATTGATAGAATAGCATGAGCGCCAGGCATTGTAGGCAGGGGGAGGCTGAGCAGCCTATTGTGGCCCCTCCCTCAGGCCAGTGCACTTCCCACAGGGAGTCACAGTTGGATCATTGCCTGCCCAGTGCTCTGGGGCCTGGAGCACTGGGGCTGTGGGTGCAGTGGTCACACTGCCCAGGAGCTGCAAGTGCTGAAGCTGCAGCATACCAGGGCTGTGGCCTTGCCTCCTTCCTGCCAACTGAGCATTGCAGGGGTCATGGGTTGCAGTGGGCTTGCTTTGGGCTCCTACAGGGGTTAGAGGGTAGAAGAAGGGAGCCCAAAGGGAGGGGCCGGCCTCCCATGGAATGAAGTAAGAGAATTTTTGGCTGACTTAGCTAGAATTTTTCCTGGATTCTGTGGGAAGAACATATTGGAGTAGCAGCTCTACCAATCTGCAGATGGACACATCTGCTCTGGGCCAGCTCTGCTCTCATCCCCACACTCCCCTGACTTAATCGGTGTCTAGCACTATCCTCAGCACTGCTCAGTCTCTCCACCAAAACTGTGCTTAAATCTCTCTAGCGATTTAGCAGCAGGCTGTTCCCTCAGGAGGTGCCTTTCCATTGAGGCCTTAAACACCAAAGAACATCTTAAAACTGGAAGGATTCCTTAGGTAACCAGTTTTCTAAACAGCTGTAGGATATCTGAGAAAAATAACAATGTTCTAACTGTGCCTGTGCAGACATTCCAATAGTAAATACTCATAACTTTCAAAATAATGAATTGATTTTGTTCAGACTTGGAGTGATTTGCCTTTCCCAGTGAGAATGCTGAAACCAGCCAAGCTTGAAGTTTCTACCTGCAGCCCTTGTGAGCTATCAAAGTGCAAAATTACAAATCAGAATAGGCAAAGAAAAAACCCTTCTAATAGTTAAATTGAGTCTGTTCAAGCTTTGCAGAAAAATTCATTTGCTCTGGGACAACCACATGGAAAATTTCTCCCAGAAGGAATGTTTGGAGAAAGTTATAAGCAACTAAAAAATAAGTGGTTGAGAAAAATTTCTCCAGACTTACTATAATGTTTACCATGGAACATTAATGTTAGTGTTAACCACAGGCTAAACAGACACACTGTGACTAAATCTGGTGTAAAAACTTTGCAGGTTCGTAATCAATGTACTGGTGAGAAAGCTGGAGCCAGAGAACACTTTACATTTAAGCAAAGCTGTTGAACACAGCATAGCAGGTCAAACAGAGGCTTTCACAGTTCACTTAATGAAAAACAGCTGAGAGTATGTGGAAGGAATGTCGGAGTTTAGCTTCTCAGTGCCCCAGGTCCAAACCTGTGAGTTATGAGTCATACCAATTTGCCTCCAAAGAACAATTTATTCATAGATCTGAGCTTCAAACTGACAGTTCAACTGTAAAAGAGTGCATTTGGGGAATGGGAGAGCTAGTGGTTTCAACTTTAAAGGTGGTAATTTTCATTTCTGGCTGAGTGGGAGACACTCCAGAGAGCTTTTTATTTAATCATTTGATTTTGGGTAGGTGGCCGGTTTTGCAAAGGTGGCCCTTTAAAATAAAAATGCTGCATTTGCATGCTCAAAGGAGGCAGTGGCATCTATAATCTAGATAACTGGCATTGAAAATGCGGCTCATGATGCTAGAGTATGAAAACATCCATTTGAGGCAAACTGTTAGCACATCACCAGGAATTTTACACAGTAGCATTCAGTATCTCTAGCCTGGAAATCAAACAGGAAAAACTGGCAATCCAAGTTACAGTAAAGTGTGGAAGTCAGTTGACATTTCATGAATATAGCATGTGTGTCAATTTCACATGGCGCCAATAGATATTGCAGATAATATCTCAAGTATGGCCTGCTTGAAGCACTAGATGAGAGTGTAGAAAATTAAATTAATCTGGGCAGTTTGCTTTGAGGCTGCAAATAAATTTGATTCTCTTAAAAAAGGAAAGGAAGGAAGTGTAATTCCAAACTCAAAAGCATAAATATTTGATATTTGTTGTCCCGGGATGAAGTAAACAGGATTTCCTGATATTAAGTGCTAAATAAATAATGAAACTTACCAAAAACAATGGAATGTTGGATACTGGCATATCTAGTGTTAAGCTGGCGAATAGTTGGAGAAATGTAGTTTGCTATGCGGAAGACTTCCAACCCCCTTCTGCTCTTTGAGATGCGACTGGCTTGAACGCTGTTGGTTTATTCTTTTCTGCCTCCTGTGGCATTGCGTGGATTAATGCCAATGGCAGAATTTGACACACATGGCCTGAATTTCAGTGGTTTTGCACAGGGATTGGGTACAAGGGGCACTGAAGAATCAGGCTAGTAGTGCCCAAAATAGGCTTGTAAGTCTAATTCTGCACTCAGTGAGATGTCAAACTAGAGCATTGAAGTTAATGGAATTGCTCTGAGTACCACTACATGGGATGGTACACCACACCCAGTGAGTGGGTTATCCTGTCATAAATACAGACCACTCAGAGAGAGAGAGTGAAGGAATGAGTTTGCTCTACAGCCTTAGCTGGGAGGCATTTAGCTCAAGCAGTAAAGGTTCATGCACTGAGCTCCAGATGGCCTAAGTTTGGTTCCACGTGTCAGCTCTACAAGTGGGGATTGTCTGGGATTTCATTTGAGTTGACTCTGAAGCTGGGGATGTGCTTCCTCACCTAGGGGAAGTGTGTAACCCACACACCTTCTGAGTGTGGTTCACTGTCTCTTTTGGTAACACTTAAACAACTTACAGAGAGAAAGCTCCAGAGGTCCTAGGTTTGGTTCCACCTGTTGGTGTTACAGCAGCATAACTGAGCAGAGGGAACAAAACTGGCCCACTGCCTCCGATGTATTTTTGTCCCTGCTCTGCTTTGGACATTAGTTTGCCATCATTGGGTTTAAAGTCAGCATTTGAAATGTAGCTGCATTATCAAAAAACCCTGAAGTCAAAAACCTTCAACCCCTAGGTAGGATACCCACAGAGTTAGAGTCCCCAGTCAGACTGCTCCATTCATACTAGCCCTCATCTACTGACTGGCAGAACTTAGAAGTTGTTCACTGCTATTGCTATTGAGAAGGTTATGTGCACAAGACACACATTTTCCTGTCTCTCATATTCCAGTCAGCTCACTATGGTGCCTTTTCTCTTCCTTTGCAGGGGTGAAGCGCAGTCCCTCAGAGATGAAGGATGGTGATGTAAATTTGGACAACAGCGACTCACCCTATTATTTTACAAAGCTGATGTATTCTGCGGAAGACTTTGACAAACTGGTGAATCTGAGCAGCTACAACATCCTCAATAATAAAGACTTGATTCTACAGTCCATCCAGAGGGCTATGGCATGGAGGAGAACTAGCACGAGGGGAGGTTTACCCACGGGTTCTGACGTTGAATCTGCCTAGGCAGTATGTCCTCATCATCTATCAGCTGTAGATGGTCTGTCAATATCTTATCGGAGGCACTGCTGATTGCCTTATACACAGTATGAAGTGATGCTGCATCTCTGTGTTGCTTATCATGTCCATTTCAAAGATCTTAGTGTTCAAAAGTTGTATTAAAAAAATCCAGTTTTTTGGCATACCAGGCTCAGGCTGTGTTCTTACAAGCTATGAGAGTACAACCTGGTTAGTAGGACACCTCCCAGGAAATCCCAAGCACTGAAGGAAATAGTCTTGGCAGGGCAGTAAGTTACACTCTGGTTCAGTACTGGGAGAAAAGATGTCCCCACCCTGCTCACGGTGTTGGGGGCCATCTGATGGAGGTGCTGAATTTGGGATGATACATTGATAACCAGGCCCTTATGTCTACAACCGGTCAGGGCTTTTGTTTGTAGAGGTACTGAGCACCTAACATGTCCCTCCCCTCCCCCGAAGTTAAATAGACCCATCTTGGCTCAGTACCCAGACATCAGGTCATACAAGAGTCAAAGGAGTTGGAGTAGTCTGGCCAAATTCTAAGTGGAGAATTATATTCTACCTACATTGAATGGTTAAGTGGAGACATTATTCATTCCTTCCATTCCCTCAAACAAATGTGCACAGAAATGCTGTCACATTCTACCATCCAAGCTCGATACGTTTCAGGGATGAGTGAAATAAGCCTGAGAGAGTTAGTAAAATGATTTTGAGATCCTGCTGGTGGAAACATGTTCTAGTGTGAAGTGATTTTATTAACTTATTTGTGGGTGGTGCTTTTATTTAGCATTTTATGGGCCAAATTCAGCCCTGAAATAAGTGGCTGGAATGAAGGCATGTCTTCTTGGCCTAGTAAGAGTGACTCAGACATAAGCAGAGATGTTCTTATTCCTTTGTGAAAACTGAGCTTAAGGCAAAGTTAATATAGTTGAGGGTACGTCTAGACTACATGCCTCTGTCGCCAGAGGCATGTAGATTAGGCTACCCGACAGAGTAAAATGAAGCGGCGATTTAAATAATCGCCGCTTCATTTAAATTTACATGGCTGCCGCTTTGAGCCGACAAACAGCTGATCAGCTGTTTGTCGGCTCAGCGCGATAGTCTGGACGCTCCCCTGCCGACATCAAAGGGAGCTGTCGACAACCCAGGTATGCCTCCTTAGAAAGCCAAAGAACTTAAAAGAAGATAAATAACTAGAAGTCTTGTGGCACCTTATAGACTAACAGATTTATTGGAGCATAAGCTTTCATTGGCAAAGGCCCACTTTGTCAGGCGGCAGCCATGTAAATTTAAATGAAGCGGCGATTATTTAAATCGCCGCTTCATTTTACTCTGTCGGGTAGCCTAATCTACATGCCTCTGGCGACAGAGGCATGTAGTCTAGACGTACCCTGAGTGAACAGCTATGGCTTTTTATATAGGAAATGTGTCCTTTACAACACCATTGCTTATAACGTCATATGCAAAGTATTTTTAATAAGTGGGATGGAGATGTATTTAAAATTTAGCCAAAATAAAAAAGACAAAATTCTTCATACCGCTTTTGCAGTGGAATGTCCAGTCAAAAAGGGCTCTTGGTGGCTCAACCATCTAGGTCAGTAGAAGTATGGCTGGCAACACTGTGGGAGTACAGGCGTCATACTTGCTCACGTTCTGTTTCCAGAAATAGCTACCAGGTCCCTGCAGCCTCTAGGTGAAGTGCGGCGCTGTGTGCTATCCCTACCTCAAGTGCCAGCTCCACAGCTCCCATTGGCCAGGAACCGCAGCCAATGAGAGTTACAGGCATGGCATCTGGCCCTGTGGACATAAGGGTAGCATACAGAGCCTTCCTGGTTGCCCATGTATTGGGAGCTGCAGTAAGCACTGCTGGGACCTGAGGACCCAAATCCTCTCCCACACCCCACTCCCTGTTCCAGACCTGAGTCACCTCCTGCATCCGAAACCCCTTATCCCCACCACCACTTCAGAGCCTGCTCACCCCCACCTTCCAGCCAGGACCTTCACCCCTCCCAGCCCAGTGAATGTGAGTGAGGGTGGAGAGAAAATGAGCAACAGAAGGAGTGTGGAATGGTGCATCTCTGGAGAAGGGGCAGGGCAGGGGCTGCTCAGTTTTGTATGATTAGAAAGTTGGCGCCCTCTAGCTCTAGTCGCTGGGTGATTCCCCATTTCACAGTCTATTGTAGTGACCACCATAAAACACAATTTCATAACTTCACATACACTAATGCTAGCCTTACGTAGAATAATAGCTCTCAGCAGATTGTAACCTATCCCATGATATATTGCATGGCTTCATATGGAATATGACTATTATATATAAACAATGGCTATGGAGGTTACAGGCTGCGCCCCCAGGTATGCAGTGTCACTTTATGTATCTCTGCCAAGAGAGCAGAAAAAATAGCAACCTGGGCGAACTATTTTGGAGCCCCTGCTGTCTCACCCCGTCAGCCCTCGCCACTGTCCTGCCCCTTGCTGCCTTCCCATCCAGCCTCCGAAGACACCCACCACCACCAGGGCCCCCCCTGCCACTGCGCCCTCGTTATCCAGACCCACGCTGCTCCTTGCCACTTGGCTATGGTGCCCACCTTGACCATGGCACTTTGCCCACATCACTCACTTGAAGGGAGAGTGTGTGGCCAGCATTGTCCATGCTACATGCCCACCTTTGTCCAGGTAAACCAGTCTCACAATGTGTTTGCACAGCTGCCTTGCCCAGTGCAGGCTGCCTAATTTGGCTTCAGGGCCTTAGAGGTAATGAGTGTGGCACACCCACTTAGAGCTCCGCCTCGTCCTCCTCCCCACATGGATAAATGGACAGGGAGAGGTTAAGGAATAGCTACTTCCTGCCCGTGGCCATTTGCCGTACTTTTTATTTTAAACTACTGATTGGGAATAACGCTAGTACTCTACCAGCTGAATATATCTTTTGAAGTAAAAAACTGAATAAAATGCAGTGGCCTAGCAAAAAACCAAAAACTTCATTCATAAAGAAACATTGAACAGCATTTTGTGTTGTATACTGCTGCTACATACATTGGCTATCAGCAGGGTTCCTTCGAATCGTTTTCATCCATGTAAGGATTTTTTCCATCCATGGGTGGAATAAACTTATGTGCACTGAGGTATATGTGAATGTGCACCTCCAGTAGGGGAAAAAACCCAAAACCTTGTTGTGGACGTCCTGCTAATCAACTTGCTGGCATCTGAATCTCTCCTGAGCAGTCACACAAGCTCACAGGGAACACTGGCTACCAGTACTCTCTAAGGGTATGTCTACACTACAAAGTTAATTCGAACTAACAAACGTTAGTTCGAATTAACTTTGATAGGCACTACACATACAAATCGCTAGTTTGAACATAATTCGAACTAGCGATGCGCTTAATTCGAACTAGGTAAACCTCATTCCATGAGGACTAATGCCTAGTTCGAATTAAGTAGTTCGAATGAAGGGCTGTGTAGCCACTTAATTCGAACTAGTGGGAGGCTAGCCCTCCCCAGCTTTCCCTGGTGGCCACTCTGGGCACCACCAGGGAAACTCTTCTGCCCCCCCCTCCCAGCCCCGGAGCCCTTAAAGGGGCACGGGCTAGCTACGGCGCCCGTGCCAGGTGCAAGCCTGCCCGCACCCAGCCAGCAGACCCTGCACCTGGCACGGCTCCCGCCAGCCCCCCCCCGGTCCCCCGCCCCCCCCCCCGCT